GTATATTCTGCCTACAACAAAAAAGAGTTGCACGTGATATTGAAAACAAAGTTTATCAATTTCTAGAAGTATTATCAGATCAGAGTCTTATTGAGTTGCAAGTTAATTGGAACGACTTTATTACTCATTAATGCTTGAAAAGCAAGCATTATCTGTATTTATGCATAATATTCTTACATTAAGCATTATCTGTATTGAGGCTTTATGCATTGGAGAAGTGTTATCATGTATTATTATTAGTGTTGTATAATTATATTAAGTGCTATTATTTTCTTCGATAATATATTAGGAGGAAAACTCTAACCAATGTAACCAATGTAAACTGATAGTTTTAGTTTACTTTTGGTAATATATCGTCTAATATAAGCTTTAATGTCGTTTAATATAAACTTGGAATTTAGAAGGCGTCTAATTTCTTAAACTGGTTTTTAATTATTTAGATATATATTTGATAAAAAATTTATTACAATTAAAAAAAAATATAACTATTTGAAAAATAAAAAAATGCCATTACTATTTGTTAAACAAATATTACTGTTCGTTAAACTTCGTAAATATTAAACTTCGTTTAATGAATAGTAATATTCGTTTAGCAAATTCTACAATTCCTTTAAGAAATAGTATTAGAGTTAGGGTTAGGGCTAGGGTTAGGTTTATAATTAAGGTATAAATGAAAGACCAAAGTATAAATGAAAGCCCAAGAAGCTCTACTAAAGAGCGCATTTTAGGAGTCATTTTTACATCTAATCTCAAGTGGAGTACACACATTCAATTAGTTGTCTCTAAATCTTTACAAATTCTTGGTATGCTAAAAAGGATCACCACCATCGTTGATGAAAAAATGGCTCTCAAATTATATAAAGTGTTTATAAAACCACACCTTGAATATGCAGTGTCTGTTTGGGCCCCTTTTTTAAAGACTGACGTAGCTTTAGTTGAATCTGTTCAACGTAAAGCAACAAAATGGGCTTTAAACTTGAGATATTTTCAATACTATGAAAGACTTGAAAGACTAAATCTACCATCACTCGAGTTTCGGCGCCTACAATGCAATTTTTAAACTAATACATCGATTTGATATAATTAATAATATATATCAACCAAAATTTATTAACTCATTGTCACGTGGTCACTATCTTAAAATAAGACGTGAATATATTCCAAACTGTCTTTCAAGACACAACCAATTATATAATAAATCAGCAAAATACTGGAATGAACTACCCGAGCAAGAAAATTTATACTTCACTGTACTTTCTTGTAAAATTAGATTAGATCACTGGTTATAGATAAAATTCGAAACGAATATTTATAAAACTGTTTGTTTATAGTAGGGTGTTTTCCCTGCTTGCTGTATGTATATATGATATGTATGTTTTACGGCTACAACTATAATATAATAATAATAAAAGGTCGCTTAACAAATAATATTATTTGATAAACAAACAGTAAGCAAAGAGTACTACTAGTTTAAAGAATACTATTTATTTAACGAACAGTATTGCTCGCTTAACGAATAGAACTACTACTTTATCGAACAGTACTATTCGTTTAACGAATAGTGTTATTTTTTTAACGATTAGTATTAACTGTTTAACGAGTAGTACTAATTGCCTAACAAATAGTATTATTCGCTTATCGAATGTACTATTCATTTAGCTAAAACTTGTTCTTGATTTATTTAAATTACTTTTAAAAAGTCTCAAATCTTTTAAGTATCATATTTGCAGATGATACCAATTTATTTCTCTCTAATAATGATATTTACCAACTCTATTCGACTTTGAATGATGAACTGCAAAAAGTATCAAATTGGTTCAAACATAACAAAACTTCTCTTATTCATTTCCTCTCCAAAAAAAGTTCCTTATCCACAAATATGCCGTAAATTTTTATTGAATAAGTTAAAATAAAAAGAGATATAGCAACAAAATTTTCAGGTTTTTTCTTGACAAGAACATCACATGGTAACAACATATAACTTACATTTACACTAACAGTATTGGAATTTTATTCAAGACTAGAGCCGTGGCTAGGTTACCCCACACACCCCGATTTGAGAGGCCCAGCAATTTAATGGGGCCAAAAGTTAATTAAGAAAATTTTACACAAATTTATTACTCATTTGTTCTTAGTTATATATGCTATGCAACATATATACTGCCTGGGGTAGTACAGGCAAATTTAAAACATCTTTAACGCCGTTAAAAACACGCTATGCGTTTAATCTTTTTTTTTATTCTTTTATTTTTTTAGGTGCCCAAGAAGTCCTTATGGTTTTATCTCAGAGCACCGCGGAATAGCATTTAATAGGAAATTTACGCTTCCTTCCCAACCAATGTCTCAAAATTTGCCCATAAGTTGGGTTTGAACCATGGCTTTTACATTTCTGAGGCAAGTGTACTACCACTGCGCCACGGCTGATTTTGCAGATCAGTTCTTACAAACACTTAAAAACGAGAATACTCAATGTATACAAATTATATGTATTTAATGTTTTATGTTCCCTTTATATGTAAAAAAACGATTTCTGTCCTTTAGTTTTTAAAGATTTCTTTATTTTGAAACTCATAAACTAAAACACCTTAAGAAATAATAGTTTTGCACCGTTTTGTAAAAAAAGATTTAATCAATTTTGTATTTTAAAATGCGCACCATATCTCTGGAATAGGACTTTTTTTTTACTAAATTTTGATTTATCGATTAATTTTCCAATCTTCAAAAATAAGTTAAAAAAATTCATTCTCTCAATTGAAAATACTTTTGAATATTTTGAATAACGTAATGAAATTAATGAAATTTTATGATACAATTTGTTTTTCACTTTATAGATATTATTTATTTTTGCTATTATAATACATGTTGTTATCGAATAAAGAAGATTCTGGTAATAAGATCTTTATGACCTTCTTTCGAACACCTTTGTTTGTAATAATTTTTTTATCTAGATTTTGACTTTATAAGTCTACGGATTTTACATTTCGTATAGGATTTTATTATGTAATACGAACACACACACACAAAATACTATTCGTTAAACTTTGGTATTGAAATTTATCGAATAGTTATTCACTACACTAGTCGACTATCTTACTGACAACTTATGAGTCTTATAGGATCGCATATAATCTTATACTATCCTACAGGATATCTTACAGGATTTGTAAGATTTTATTTGTCTTTCAAATCCTATAGGACCATAAGAAATCCTGTGATTACCTATAGGGTATCTTAAAAGATTCGTAAGATTTTATTTGTCTTGCAAATCTTATAAGATCACAAGAAATCCTGTGATTATCCTGTAGGGTATCATAAAGGATTCGTAAGATTTTTAATTTTTTTAATTTTTTTAATTTATTTTGAAATATGAAAAACTTAGCGGTTTTTATATATATATATATATATATATATATATATATATATATATATATATATATATATATATATATATATATATATATATATATATATATATATAAAATGCCGCCAAGAACTGTTTCGCCGCCCGGGACAGCAACATGATTGGCGTTCTTAATTATCGAAATTCTCTTATATTATCGGTAAAGGACCTTTGCTTCAAGGTACCTTCATTCTACTTGGTGCCCCTTGGAAATCTGCCGCCCGGGACAATCTGTCCCTTACGTTAAAATTAGATTATTATCAAAAAAATCTAGTTGAATTAAAAAATTTTCTTGCAATCAGAGTGTACATTGAATTGCGTGACTTTCTGTCACGCAGAATTCAATGTACACTCTGATTGCGAGAAAAATTTTTTTATGCTGTGGCACGTTAAAAAGGTCTCATCGGAGTCCTTTTTAACGTGCCACAGCATAAAAATAACTAAAACAGTAGAAAAAGAAAAAGATCCGCTTAATAGTTTCGGAATCCCGAAATTTTAGGGCTTTTTTAGTTATTTTTATGCTGTGACACGTTAAAAAGGACTCACCGGAGTCCTTTTTAACGTGCCACAGCATAAAAATAACTAAAACAGTAGAAAAAGAAAAAGGTCCGCTTAATAGTTTCGGAATCCCAAAATTTTAGGGCCCTAGCCCCCTCCTCTTTAATCTATCACTGGCTTCTATAGGAACCAGTGCTGGATTAAGGGGTAGGGCTACAGCCGTATATATACGAATCTAAAATTTTCCTTCAGCATTCTATAAGAATCCTGTTAATCCTACAAAATCTTTTAAAATATTCTTGTAGATCTTATATTATCTTATGAGAATTCCTTCAAATCCTACAAGATCCTTCAAAAGATTCTTGTAGGTCCTGCAGGGACTTGTGCATCTCATCCTATAGGATTCTTGTAGGGTTTGTAAGATCAGTCGTCTAGTGTATGCTTTTAATAAAAACACTATTCGTCGGTGCTTAGTTGTGAACATTACTTAAATAACAATATCTCATTTAAAAAAAGTTTTAAAAAGACATTTAAAATATTTTTAACTATTTAAAAACTGGCAACACTTATTATAAATATTACTCTTTTAATATTTTTTATTTTTTGCTATTAATTAGACTTTCTTTAGGACGCTCACGGGAAAAAATTAAAATTGCCGGAAAAAAGTTGGCATTACCGGAAAAACCAGTTTGCTGTTATGCCTTTTAAATCTTTTCAACTAAAGTTTAAAACTGAAATTTTGTAGTCTTTTATCATTTCAATAAAGACTGCCAAAAAATAGAGTACCCATGTTAAACATGTCATTCATGTTTAACATATATGCAGATCCGTCCCGAAGAGACTTTGAGAAGGGGGGGGGGGGATCCGTGTCTGTTTTTTGCCGACAAAAGTCAAAAATTTTTTTTTTTTTACTAACTACTTACCTTTCAAAAATTAAACCACCAAAACGACTATTGGATTGACCGAAAACTTCTTGGGCCACCTTAATAATTATATATAAAAAATTGTTCGTTTTTTGTGTAATCTCCAAGCACTGATCTCAAAATAATAACTTTTAACTACTAAAAATAATAACTGAAAATAATAACTCAAAATAAAAAGGTTATTTTTTTGAGATCAGTACCTCCGACAATCCGAAGCGACCACGTGCACATTTAAGGTATCCGATTATCAATCGGTTGGCTGTCCAAATGGCTGTCGATTAATTTCACAATTTACGGTTTTGCAATAAAGCTAGGCAAGTAAACTTGTTTTTCCAGTGACTTTGCAACATTTTATTTCTCAGTTAAAGAAAAGTTAAAGTTTTTTAATAGTCATACACGTCAGAAAAACATAATATCGTGAGATAACCATGCAAAGTCCAGATCTTATATAGGGGAGAGAGGTGTACCTTAGAGGTATGTGTACTTTAGAGGCACGTCAGTTGTGCTGCCATCTTAAGTAATAAATTCAAACTGAAATTTTAGTTAAATGTATTGGCCATTAAAGGCTCATAATAAAGTTTTTTACCATTGCTTAACACATTTGTTGTTACAATAAAAATAAAGGTTTGTTTCCAGTACCAAAAAATAAACTACCTTTGAGGTAGTTAATGATGTGTGTATTTCTTTGTTAAATTGTAGTTATTTTTCTCAATTTATTATCTTCTCTTTGATCGTTTTCTCAAATTATCAAAGAGAAGATAAAATGGTGGATGAGTTAGACAAATCAGACATGGTCTTTCATTTGCCACATCCCTCTAATACAGGAAGTTTAGCATGACAGCAGAAAAAATTTGACATTAACTTTGGTTACTAATCATTTGGCATTAACTTTTATTACCTGATTGTAGAGTAGACAAATGTTATATCAAAGTGAAGGACTTAATATTACTAAACTTTAATGTAGATATTTGTTATTACTCTTTTCTTAATCAACTTTATTTCTTTTGTAAGCTTTTAATACTTATAAGTATAAATTAGTTTAAATTTATAATCATACATAAGTTTAATATAAATACAAATTAGTATGTAGTTTACAAAAATCTAACTAGTTAGATTAATATTATCTCAAATGAGGCTGATTCACATCAGCCTCATCTGAGATAATAGTCCAATTTCTACCATGTTAAGTACTTAATCTGTTAAAACAATAATACCTCTAAGGTACAACATACATGCCTCCAAGGTACACCACCTATGGTGTACTTTTGCTGAAGTGTAAGTTATTTTGTAAAATTAAAAAAAGGAATGAGAAAATATGTCTGGATGTTTAAGAAAAAATCCTAGAACAACTAATATCATCAAGTTGAAGCAAATATATTGTTATAGAACATATTGTAAGTATTTTTTTTTTCTATTTGTAAAAGTTTGAAAATACCTTCAAGGTACACCACTCTTCCCTACAGTTTTCATTATTTTTTACATTAAAATAACAGTAATGAGCAAATTACCTATAAATTAGATTCTGACTTTTTTATAAACTGTATAGATACCGTTACATAATTGTCCTTATTGTACTATACTTGTCCTTTAAACTAAAGTATAGCTTTTGACTGTTGTTTTAAAAATGTGCAAGAGTTCTTAATTGAAACAAGTGGATATCCTTTCATAACAAAAAATGTAATATTTTACAAAACAACATAAAATAAAAAATTAAATGTCAATAAACAAAATGAGATTAGTTAAAATAACGTCAATTCTTAACAATTAAAAATTTCAAAAATGTCAGCATTTTTGAGATTTTTTGGTTTGAATTTTTATCATAAAATTTTTACTTCATAGATATCAATAAATAATGATATGAAAATAAAAATTTGATGAACAATCATTTTATCATAATTTTTTATCACCAATCTTTAGTAATTTTTTAATCTAATAAATAAATTAGAATAATTTGAGATTTTTTAAATTTCTTCTAATTCATGTTTCTATAAAACACATTAAAACAGTATAGAATGTAACTCTAAATTGTTAAAATGTAATAATATTATCACAAGCTGTTATTAATAGCAGCAAGATCGCTGCTAGCTAGGTTACTTTTAAGCTTACTTGAACTAATTATTGAAGGACCTGATTCTATTTAGGACATCTAACAAATATACTATTAGTAATAGTGTCAAAGTATTTTATTTTTATTTCTAAAAACTTTAAAAAATAAATTGAGTTTTATTTTGGTAATTAAAATGACTGATTAAATTAGCGATTCTTTCTCAGTTATGCAGATTTTCTTCTCTGATACTTGTTATCATAACAAGTTCTTCTGATTTACTCGCTTCTTACTCATCTTCTTACTCAGCTTTATCATTGAATAGCTTGGGTTTACTAATAATTTATTTATTATTTTTTTCAGTAAAATGTCTATCAGACTAGTATCATTGGTTTTACTAAACAAATCTGCTGTAAGTAAATTCAATGTTTTATTTTAAACAAATAAGTTAATACTTTTATTGTTAAGATTTTTTATTTTATGATTTTTTTTTATTGTCAATATCTGGCATTTGTTTCTTGTAAACTTTCATTAAGACATAAAAATTTGTCTTTAGTTGTTTAATGTCAAGCTGACTTTTTATGATATTTGTTAGTTCATTTTTATGATGTTTATTAGCTCCGAGACACAATCTTTACCAAACAAGTTATATTGGGTTAGCAACTAAGTAATTGCGGATTTCACTCATAGATGGCTTTAGTTTAATTTTTAGGTTTGCTGACATAATCAAAATGCCAAACATATTTTGTTATTTAATAGTTGGTGCTTCAACTATCAATTAGTAAAAAATTTTTTTTGATCAGTTGTGTTGTTTTTGTTTGGCGTCTGTTGAAAAATGGAAAATCGAAAGGAACATTTTCGTTATATTTTACTTTTTTATTTCCAGAAAGGAAAAATTGCATCGCAAACTCACAATAAGTTATGTGTTGTTTATGATGGTGAAGCTTTAAAAGAATAGCAGTGTCAAAATTGGTTTGCGAAATTTAGTTCTGGTGATTTTTTACTCAAAGATGAAAAACGCTCTGGTCGTCCAGTTGAAGTTGATGACGACTAAATCAAAGCAATTATCGATTCAGATTGTCATAGTATAACATGTGAGATTGCAGAGAAGCTTCATGTATCACATACATGTATTGAAAATCGCCTAAAACAACTTTGCTATGTACTCAATATATGGATTACTCATGAACTGAAAGAAAATAATTTAACACAACTCATTAACATCTGCGATTTGTTAAAGAAACATAATGAAAATGACCCATTTTTAAAACGATTGATAACTGGTGATGAAAAATGGATTGTTTACAATAATGTCAATTGAAAAAGATTGTGGAGTGAACCAGTTCAAGCAATTTCAAAAGCTGATATTCATCAAAAGAATGTTATGTTATCAATTTGGTGGGATTACATAAAAATTGTCAACTTTGAACTTTTACCACCCAACCGAACGATCAATTCAATGTCTACATTAAACAACCAACAAAATTGAGTAATGCAGTTGAAGAAAAGCAGCCTGAATAGACAAATTGAAAAGGTGTTGTATTCCATCATAACAATGCAAGGCCACACACAAATTTGGTCACTCAGCAAAAATTATTGGAGCTTAATTGGGATGTTTTGCTACATCCACTATATAGTCCTGACCTTGCACCATCTGATTACTTTTTATTTTGATCTTTGCAAAACTCCTTGAATGGTAAAAATTTTAATAATGACGATGATATCAAATCGTGCCTCAGTTTTTTACCTCAGTCTGGTTCAGTTTTTTGCTGATAATAACCAGAAGTTTTATGAACGTATAATTATGATGCTGCAAAATGACTTATAAAAAACTTTTTTTTGAACAAAATGATTTTGAACAAAAATGATTTATAAAAACTTTTTTTCAATATGCCAGGTTTATATAATATTTCTAAACATTTAAGTTCAAATTCACAAATTATTTAAACTTATAATTTATTTGAATTTACAATTTATTCGATTATACATTTTATTTAAATATACAATTTAAAATTCAAATTTAATTTATATGGAGACAGGGATTTTTTACGTAAGTGCTAATATTTAGCTTATTGTTTACTTCAGGGGGATTCCATGTGAAAACATCCAAAGATTTTCTAATTCCAAAGATTTTAATAAGTTATAAACATCCCTATCTAATTCCAAAGGGTTTTAAAGTTATAACTATTAAAGCTTTGCCATGAACTAAAATCCATGATTTTATATAACGGTTTTGGTCTTTATTTGTGTTCTGTGTGGATTACAAAACTGAAAGTATGAAACCTTACATATGTTAAGGCTAGTAATCCAGTAAAACAACTTGAAATATATAACACCTTTATAACAATTTAAATGGGGCAAGTTAAATTACAAAAACGCTGTGTAGCTTTTTTTTTTTTAGATGTTGTGAATAATTAAATTTTTACAAAAAGTTGGATAGTAGTCTTTTCTTAAAAAAAAAAGAAGGTCAATTTACTTAAATTTGTTTCTTATAAAATATGAATTATGAAAAATTAAAGGAAAAAAATGGTGGTACTCATAAGCGCTTAATACACTGAAGTTGACACTTATTAATTTTTGGAAAATTTTCCCACCTACCCTGAGCTTATTTAGACCCCCTCAAACCGTTATTTTATTTCTTGTTATATATATATATATATATATATATATATATATATATATATATATATATATATATATATATATATATATATACATTGCTAGAAATAACAAACTTTTTTGTTGTAGACTATTTTTCCAATAAATACTCAAGTTTGACAGGCATGTCCGATAAAATTAAAAAGTGTGATTGAACGTCAGTTTTGATCATGTATAAATTACTTTGTTTTTACAACTATGCAATTTGTTTTGACAACTCTAGGCGTTTTAAAATATGCTGAAAATAAGAAGAAAATTTGTACGATTAATGCTAAAAATAATGCTAAAAATAAATCTTAAAAAAAAAAAATCTCAAAGAAAAAGAAAAAATCTAAGCTCAAAAAACTTAAATTTAAAAGCCAAAGTGTGGTTGTTACGTTGTTTGAAAACTTATATCCTATGCCAAATGCTGTGTAAGTTATTATAAATATATTAAAAACATAAGTTTTTAAGTTGACTTATTACTTTACTAAATAAAGTAACAAATTAGTTATAATGATTCTTTACAATAAACCCATTTTATTTAAATTATCAAATAATATTATACGTAGTTAAATTTATATAAATTTGTGTTTATTCAAAAACCTTTTCGAACTTTTTCTGATTAATTTTATAAACACTTATAATAACAAAAAACTTGAGCTCGAAAACAAATGTTATGTAACAACTCAAATTTAATAGTGTAATAAATAGTACTGGTTTCTATAAGCATAAAAATAATGTTAAAGTTTTTATAAAATAAATTTAAAAGGGGTTTTAAAAGCCTCAAACATTGGTAATAAAAAACAAGGTAAATGTATAATGTAAATATACTTATATTTTTATTTCTTTATATTATGGTTATTTATTTAAATATTGTTTTTGTTTTTTATTGTTTATTATTGTTTAGGGTCTCTCCTCATTGCCAGTTAGCCAATGTCTTTGTCCCTCTGTTTCTTCTTATATTTTTAAAAGATATACAAGAAAAAGTACATCTCGGTTTCCTGCTGAAGATGCAGTAACACGACTCGAAGATATGGCAAGGAAGTTTCAACCCCCTCCTTATAGTAAAAATCCTTTAGATACTCCAGCTGACAGCGGAATAAAGTTGGATTCAACAGGTTAATTGTATTATTTATTTTCTATATTTGTTAGTATGCTTTACAGTTTTAAGTATATTATGCTATAATATACTTAATATATATATATATATATATATATATATATATATATATATATATATATATATATATATATATATATATGTATATATATATATATATATATATATATATGTATATATATATATATATATATATATATTATATATATATATATATATATATATAAGTATAGTATGCTTTACAGTATTAAGTATATTAATCTTTAATCATTTCTTGGTTCTTTTTGCCTTATTAGCTATAAAATTAATACTCTAGTTAAATATTTTTATGATCCATAAATTCCTAAATTTCTATTTCTGTTAGTTACTTATTTTGATTCTATTAGATTAGGTAAATATACCATTTAGTTTTTGTGATTATTATTTTTTTGTTTCATAAATATAATTAAAAAATAAAATTGAATTTGAAAAAAGTTTATATTTTTGTAAATCAAAATAAACGTTTTTTTGAATTTTTAAGATCAGTTCTTACTGCATGTGATAACTTATGATTCACTTTGTTTTTGTTTGTAAATAAACATTTCAATGGAACATTTTATTTCGATTTGTAATGTTAATTAGTTTATCTAAAATTTTATGTTATTTTTTTTAATTTAGTGTCTTCTTTCTTTTATAATTGATCCACTGCCCTCCCATCTTATATATGCCATTTGCAACCCCCCTCTTTCCCTCTGAGAGTACGTACTTTATGGATGATCCCTTAGAACATTCTTAAAACGCATCAATGTGAAACTAAGAGTTTATTTTATTATTTATCTCTCCAATATCCTTTTTTATGCCAGATTGAAAAAGAAAGGTTATTTAAAAAGTACTGTTAATATGCTTTTCATCAAATTTTCTGCAAAAAACGAACTAAAATTATAAAAGCTAAAAATTATGAACAATAGTTATATTAAAATCTACATAAACAATATACACGAAAAGAAAAAAATCTAAGTAGATGTGAGATCTAAGAATGTGATAAAAAACCCATTATTCAGGCTTGGATAGGAATTGTGTGCAATCAATCACTAATGCTGACCACGCAAATGATTTTTTTTGAAAACTTGACCTCTGCAGTTTAAATGTTTTGATGATTTAAACTGAAATGCGCTGAAAAAAGAAACGATAAGCTATATATAAACTATGAAGAATATTTAAAAAAGAAAAAAAAAAAGAAAATAATTCCTTATAAAAATAATTTAATTAAAAAATATATATTTTATTTAAACCTTCGCGTAAAATAAAAAATTTAAAAAAGACCAATGAATAAAAGTTATTATTGTAACAATTTTTAAAATTGTATTTAAATTGTTAAATCATCAAAACAGCCCTGGTCAAATTGTAAAAAAATATATATATATAAGCATGATCAGTTACAGCATGCAATTACACACCATTCCTATACAAGCCTGATTTTTCTATTTCTATTGATTTTTTAATGATTTGCCTATTGCTCTACTTTGCAGTACCTAAAGAGTGCATAAATGATATCAATGTTGAAATCCTTTAAATAACTATGTTTAACAAAAAATTAAAAATATTTGTATGCACTAAAGGGCACAAATGCCCATTTTTCTATGAGCTCCTGATTATTAAGTCAGCCTTGTCACTATCATTGTTGTTCATGTTATTTTTGTTGCTCCATTTTTTATCTCTGAGTAGAGATTCTAAATTAATAGTAGTATATATTTCTTTGAATTACCTATAAATATAAAAGTTTGAATTTTAAGAATATAAGTTATATGTAAAAAGGTTTTGTTATTATAAGGTTTAAGCTCTGTAAAATTGGTTAAAGGAGAACTTAAAAAGGAAATTAATTTAACCAGTAAATTTACCAGTAAATTATTACTACCTTAATCAGCCATATTGTGGAGCATCATATTGGCCTAATTTGCAAGCTTGGTTCTCAGATTGCAAATATGGTGAATATGATGCATAGGTATGCATCATTAAAGGTTCTTTTATTTATTTAGAGATATATCCTTAACCCAAAACAGCTTTATAATTCACAATAAGGATAATCACTTCTGTATCTGATTGTCTGTATTCTAGAATTGGCTTAATGATATAAGTTTTGTTGCTATTTCTTTGTAAATAAAGAAGGAGCATATGTTTGCTATTTCAATCAAAATGGAAAAGAGCCTGTGCCAGCATGTTTTGAGTTTTATGTTTTCATACTTTATCGCAGTAAATTTTTCTTGTCAACGCCACTTATAATGGCATTATAATCCTTAACTTTTGTAGGAGCAGCAACCTCTTTTAAAGTACTTATTCTTGACAATTAAGTATAGTTTACCTGTTATTATAAAGCAAATAAATTAAGCACAGGAAAATTATATGTAAATATAAAAAAGGTTGTAGAAGTGGTATTGTGAATAAAAACATTTTGGGATAAGAATATATCCTTCAGGATTCATGGCATCTATCCTTAAATCAATGAAAGAACCTATAGAGATTGATAGGTATAGAATGCTGTCCAGCTAGAAGAGGTTTTTATATGGTTTCTGCATTAGACTACCTTTTTTACATTTAGATTCACTCCCAACAAGGCTGCAAGCAACCACTATTAAGTTGGGAATTACTAAAAAACAAAGAATAAGAGTCAATTAGCAAGGAAGCGGTTAACAGAAAACTTTGTTGTAGGTTGTACCTTTCAGGAAAGCAGGAATATAGGAGCTCCAAACAGTTTAAGTGCGGGGATAAAAACTAGACAAATAAAATGTTTTAGAGCATGCAGAGGCAGATACAGTAAAAGAATGAGATTGACAAGACTAACTGAATGACAAGCAAGAATGAGTTTTGGTTGATGGAACTAGAGATCCTTTGAGTAGTGACCATGATAGCATTTATAGAAAAGAGAAAGAGATGCAACTTTAAGATGGTGAGAGAGAGAGGTCTAAGCTTGGCAGATAGAGCAGGTCCAACTTTTTGGACCTTGTCTGGAAAAGAAAGGGCATCATTAGAAGAACTAGCTCAAATATGACAACAGTATTCCACACAGAATGAAATCAAAAGTAAGATAGTGGCGAGTTCAATAAAGAGAAGCAACCTTAGCAGATGCTAACTTAATAATCTATTGTATATATTGTTTCCTTAGGGGGTCAGTAGTGAACGATAATCCAAGAAGACAAAAAGAAAAAAACTCACATAGAAGGTAACCATTCATCAAGGTCCAAAAACATCATGTTAATATAACTGAGTTTTGTTAGAGTTAAAATTAAGAAGCCACTGCAAGCCCCAATCTGTTATAGAAGTGAGTTCAGATTCAAGATCGTCTGCTTGTTCAAAGCGATCAAAAGAGGAGCCTAGTCAAGACAGAAGTATAAAGTTGAGTCATCAGCAAAATGAGCCACTTTAGATGTAAGGTTTTCAGAAAGATCATTAATGTAGATAAGAAACAGAACAGGAGTTACTGGAAACAAACAAGAGTGTTGGCCTCTAAGGGTAACTTAAATAATGCAGTTAGTACAAAAAGATTTGATAATCTTAAAAACTTTCCCAGATATACCATGTGAAGTAAACTTATAAAGAAGACCAGCATGTCAAACTTTATTAAAAGCTTTACATATATCAAGAGCAATAGCCTCACTGGCTCTATCTAACGCATAATAAAGTTGTTCAGTCACAGCACTTAGCAAATCAGCCGCAGAGCATGAAGATCGAAAACCATATTGATTGTCTGACAATAAGTTGTTTGACTCAAGGATGGGGTGTGAGAAATTTATTATTGTATTTAAAGACACGAAGACTTTGCTTATAACTGACAAAAGACTGATCAGATGATAATTGGAGGAGTCAGAATGAACCTAAAGAAAAGTAATTTTTGCAGTTTTTCAGCACCAAAAAACATTAGTAAACAAAACATGGGAGCTCATTGGCCTACATTTTGACAAAAAGGACAGGTGTAGAAAGTATACTAATCAAAAAATTTAGTCGAGGCCTTATTCAAAATGCACATTTTGTCATGTTTTTTTGTGCTTTGTGTAAAATTGTTTTTTTGAATATTGTATGAAAATGTGTTAAAACAGATTTTAAC